CGCCGTGGATTTGGGCGGCATTCGTGGCTTAAGTACGATGAAAATATGTTGAAAAAAATCCAGCACCTTCCCTACGTAAGCCGGCCCGGCCGAAGAGCAGTCGCAACACAACCTATTGTCTGTTAAGGTCCACCGACATCGTATAAGTTTCGTCTACGTCCACCGTCTCATCCGAACTCAATCCAACGGCATTTTTTTCACGCTCTCAGAATGTCTAATGCGAAGCCACCGGCGTGACCTCGTTCTTGAGCAATTCTCATCACAAAGAAATTCCGCGTCATTCGCAGTGGTTTATTTCTGGGTCAAGTTCCTGTAGTCAGCTGTGTCCCTCTTGCTCCACGGAATTAGGCGACCGGTCGGCAGTCTCCCTGCAGAGCCATTCGTTTCCCTCGATTGAGTCAATTATCCTCCTCTTGTCCCATAATGGCAGTTTACTACTTCATTATTGGCTCCATCTGCATGCACGCTCCCCGATCGTACATGAAATTTCACTGTCTGAATGGTACTTCTCCATAGGTATACATTTTTACGATTGCTATTGGCCATGATCCCCCACCGAGACTATAGGTGACGAGGCTTTCGTTCTCCTCCACCTTCAGTGACCGTAAATTTCTGAGACCAGGTGCGATTCTCGGCCATCCGGGTCTACGGGATTTAGTTTTCTACTTTCGTAGGTACCTATCGTATCAATCTGAGTCTGTGTACCCATTGCACCCGTGGACCTTCGGGACTTTTCAATTTCAAGGTCGTCCATTACTAATGTCTGGAGGCTTCTATCCATATAGTGCGAATGGAGGGTATGTTCGCCTTCGAGCTTCATAAATACGAATTCTAGGACCGTTATGGGTATATCTGGTGATGACTTTGCATTGCTGGCCTCAGACACACGACTGTGTGCCGAGGACAGGTATTTCATTTACTCCCGCAATTCTCCACATCTATACAAGATGTATGTCTGCTTATAATTATGGACTGAATCCTTCAGGGGGAACGGGAAAGTCCTAGCAACGACAGGATTTCATGGGGATGTTCTCACACTGACTAAGTTATTAGAAAATCGGGTTAAGGTAGTCGCATTTTTTAATATATGTTTGCTTTGTGCTATTTAGACTTACCGGTACGACCATGGAAAAGAGATCTCGACCAACGCCTTTGCAGCCTTACTTTCTGTCACATTATACACCAGAAGGTTCTTCCCATTCTATGTCAGCAGCATCCTTGGTGGTTTGGATGAAGAAGGCAGGGGGGCATTGTATCGATATGACCCTGTCGGCTCATTTGAACGGGTCAAATGCGCTGCGGCTGGCAGCTCTGGGGTGATTCTCCAGCCATTTCTTGATCACCGGGTAAGTGTGCACTCTATCCACTTTATTAGTAGGTGGAGGGCAAGAACCTGTCGTCAGGGCTTCCGCCGTTAGAGAAGGCCGAGGCTATCAAACTCGCCAAGGATATATTCATCAGCGCAGCAGAAAGGGACATTAACTGTGGAGACGCTGTTTTAATACAAGTAATAACCCTTGATGGGATTGAAGAATTCCAATTCCCTTTGCGTCGTGACTGAGTTGCTGCCATAGTCGTACGCGTTTTTGCAATATAATTTCGTTGATTGCAGCTGTTTGTGACGCTTGTTCTTTTACTACAGTGTAACATGCGGATGGGTGTCTCAGGCCCGTCATCGGTGCAATCGGAAAACCACAAAACTTCGTTAATATCTGTCCGGCGCCAAACGGGTATATGGTGCGCACAGTCGTCGGGATTCAGGACCCTATAATCGGTCTCTGAGGTATTGGGCTAGGCCAGCTGTCGCAGCCGGGTTCCCCACACTACCAAGTGAGTTATTCCCGGGGGGTCCTGACTTTTGACTTAAGGCCGACACCCCTGAAGTATGAAGGCCGAAGTATGAAAGCCATTACTAGCAAACTCAACTGTGCTGGTCACTGCCGTCTTCCTGGATGGGGACCCCGAGACGGGCACATCAATGGCTAGAGACATTGTCAGATATGGCCCAGTCGCGCCCTCAATGGCGCTCGTACATCCAAGCCATTGTCTTCAATGCATAGCTCCGTTTCCAACCCCTCCCCACTTTACATCCCACTGAGAGTGCTGGATTTATACACCAATTTATCAGCTCCCGCTTGCAATGCGCAACTACCTAACCCTCCCCCAAATCACCGGTGAACGAAACTGCGGCAACTATAACCGCTGTACGACGAGTACGCGGTTATTACAGCTGACGATGGTGATGATGATGATGAAGTAAACCAAGCTTTGAGACTCAGGATTCGAGTTGTGATTTCTCAGCTAACGCCCTCGGTGTCACCTGCCCTTTGCTTTCCATTCGTCGACCCTTTCACAGAAGCCCATCAGCCAAACCATCTCCAGTCATTCATCTCTTTCTCACTTGATCATTCTGTCTAATATTATCTGACTAGTAGAATATTCCGTAGCAATTCAAAGCTTTCTGTGCCCATATTGGTTGTCAGATTGGGCAGACGTTCGGTTCTCATAAATCGTAGTGCCGTCGCTTATAAAAGGTACTAGGGTATCAAGGCATAGATGTCGAGTACGCAGACAACATAGCTCTTCTTGGATCTCACGCGTATTTAATGCAAACAACATCAAATGATATAACTACCTCACGGTTTTGAATGCAGTTCACACCTCCAAAGTGTAAAGCGCTGTTGCAATTGAGCCTGCATCGCCTGCATAGGCATAGTACCAGCTTATCTGTCAAGGGTTGAATTTACGATGCTACATTGCACTCCATATTATTATATAGATCAGAAACCTGGCCACTGCGCGCTGAGGACGTCACAGAACTTTCATTGACCTGTCTGGTGGGAACACCAAAGCAGTAGTAGTGAACTAAGTCGAATGATTTCCGGAAGAAAGAACTTGGCCACAGATGAGCTAACCAAACTCCATAGATTACGCCGGTTTGGCCATATGCTCCGTATGCCAGTCGACCGACTTCCTCGAAGGATTCTTTTCGCACAACTACGTTAAGGCGGAGACGTGCCACTGGAGGTCCAAAAATAATTTGGCAGTGAAGTATGGAAGCCGTTACCCTAAAACTCAGTTGCACTGAATCCAGTTGCCTTCAATTCACAACTCCTTTCCGGATCTCCCCAATTAAGTGCCAATTGACAACAGTGCATTTACGCATTGGTTACATCAGCCGCCGCGTCTAGTGTGCTGCTACCCAATCCTTATCCAGAAATCGTCGGGGAACGAAACTGTGGCAGCTCTTACAGCGGATGATGAAGATAACTCAATACTTAGTACGTGCCAAATGACAAAATAAGTAAGCTAAGTAACGTGCATACTGTAGAACGGAATTATGAGCTTTATGACAGAAGTGGGCTCACGAATGACTACTGTCCTGGGTCATATCAGCAAGGGCTCTGAAACAACAGTGGTTTTCACCTCTGAAACTTAATAAAAAAAAATCGCCCAGCTGTAGCACCCTTTCGGTGCCTAACTGCCATGCCACCCGGATGGAGCAAGAGGGCTGGAATACTGCCAGGTTGCCCAAACCTAGACGGGAAGTCGAGATGCAGAGGTTGGGTTCGAACCACGGACCTTCCGATCAGTAGGTTCGTACTCTAACCAGTGAGCCATCTCACCTCAACTGGATCACGGGATGAACCAACTGATGCAAATAGTAAAGCCTGTCTCTTCGGGACTTGTCGATCTGAAGTACACAAATGACGACGTCATTTTGGATGCGCAGAACAAGCACCAGCTCTTTTGAATAAACTGACCGGCAACATACCGTCTCTCAGCATGCGCTTTGCACCTTCAGCGTGCAAAGTCGTTCTTCGCAACTTTGGTGGCTCAGCCATATGCACCAGTGTTGTCTCTGTTGATGCTGATTGTGGCCTTATGCTGGTTCCTCTTGGTGGCTTCTGACTCATTTCTTGTCTGCTATGTAGCACATAATAAACTACGTAGTGGTGTGCATGCGAAGAATGCTGTCTAAGCACGTAGGTTGTGCTACGTTGTGATTTTGCTCAGAGGGGTGCTGACGGTCCTCATGCTAATTACACTTCGGTGGGCTTCATAGCTTTTCAAGTGGCGTATCCATAACGCTCGCGGGCTAATCTCGGATTACGGATAGTCGAATTCTGGGGCGTTGGGTCTCATTTAACTGAGCAGAGTAGGTCTCGCTGGTGGACTCACTGTATGGCTTTTCAGCGTTATCGCACTGCATAATTACGTAAACTTTTTTGTTTTATTTACTGGAGAAGAGAGTACAACCGCTTGCAATGTTTGTCAACTGGTTTAAGGGGATCGTGTCTGTGGCTTCAAAGGTACACTCATAGGAATTGCAGCGATGTAGGGAGAATGTTAGCGTTTATTCTGAAAGTGGGCTATGCCGGGTTGAAAACGAAAGTTTGTGAGATAACCCCAGGAACTACGAACAAAAGATTTTCCAACTTGTGACTTTTGTGTTTCGTTGACGGTGGTTTAGATTTGTGGAATTAAGGGTAATCCGATGAACTGAACAAAAGTTGGTCAGTTTTGCAAACCTTTCAGCAAAAAGCTGCAACGCAACTTAGAAGAACCACGAGGAACGACTTACTGATATTAGCGCAGTCTGTAGTACTTTGTGGAGTACCAGTAATTGGGTCCGAGTCATTCAATGTTGTGGATAGTGAATATACGACTACAGCGTCATCGTACTTGTTAGCATCAGAGATTGCAGCGTCAATATTGACACTGACGCCCCATTACGGCACGACCACAAGGTTTACCTAATAATGCTAAATTGTAATCAGAGAAGTACAGAGGTCACTCGTCAAAGTAAACAATAGTTCGGAACGCACGGTACATGGACGAGCTACTGCATCAGGTAGTCCGGAAAGTTTTCCCTTGCTGCACAGCCAAATACTTGCTTTCTCATTGCGTCGTTGCGAATTGCTCGACGCCATCCAATTCCAACTGTGCTTCCGGGATATCGATGTCCAAAAACACAATCTAAAGTTGTCACTTGTGGTGGTCGGGCTCTGGTGATGTAATACTCCTACACTGGCTGGAAGGTGAATGGGAAGCAGGCCGATGAAGAAGAACGAGTCATCATTCTACGAGGAGTCGTATTACTAAGTGACCCTGAGGCAAAGTCAATGTGCTCTGCGACCGAAGCGTGATGGCAATAATGTGTTTCCTTTTAGCGAGCAACGTGTTTACGCTTATGGAAACAGCGATGCTACTTTCTTTCGAGGAAGGGCGGGTTAGAAAAGGTTGGCTCTACAAATCGCACTCTCCGATCGTCCAGCGATTGACCGTGACAAACAGCATATTATTCAATATGGTCGCAATACTTTACAAACCAAATATTCTGGTACTGGTCAGAAGGCATCTGGTGTGCTCAACCGCGTCAGGAATGAAACAGTAATGCCTTAATCCATGTACCACCGGATTAGGCCAGCCCTTGCAGCCGAACGGGTCAGACTATTGAGTCATCGGCTGTGGGAAGGGCATCCAAAGAAAACCATCCTACCCACCGCCTGGCGGTTCTAACTTTTGATTTAGAGGCTAGGGGGAAGGTCCTCGAGCAAAACCGTAAATTCCTGGTTTCTCGTAGGTCACACTTCTGAATTGAAGGCTCAAGGTGGGGTGCCTCAATGAAACCCCTTAGTTCGGCCTGGGCAGCCTTACTTCTTCCCACACGTCCCTCACGCAGTTCCTTCTAATTCATTCATCTGTCAGTTACCTAACCATTGTTTCGTATCGAAGCTCCTGTTCAGTAAAAGAAGTCAAAATAATCCCCTATTCCATTCAGTTCTGAAGCAAGATGGCTCGGTTGTTACTGCGCGAATTTACTGACCGGAAGGTCAGTGGCTCGAACCCGACCTATGAATCGCGACCTTTTCTGTCTAGGCTTGGGCAGCCTGGCAATATGGCAGCTAGGCACCGAAAGGGTGTTACAGTTGAACGATTACCTTTCATTAACTATTCATTTCAAGGAATGTATTCCGCGTTATGTCTTTCAACATCCTTACTGTGTGTCGTATTGGGCAAGAGATCGCTCTTGCTCAGACATGGTTCTCTCCCTTTGCCGATGAATGTTTTGTCTCCGAAACATGCGTACAAGGCTCCAGTTCGGTCACACCCCTCAGGGTGCTCTGGACGAACCCAAATATCTCACTTTATTCTTCGCGTTTCTGGCCATCCTCGTGGCGCCGACGGTGTTGGAATTGCACTCAGCCCTAGCCTGAGTACGCATTTATTGGACTGGATCACATTAAGTTATGCTGGTAGGTTACTGGTTCAATCACCATTCATTTCTAGCTATCACAAGCTTTTGGTAGACACAGTATGACCTCGAGGTCACCAAGTGCAAACCAGCCGTGGACTCATTTGGACCATTCGGCAGTCGGCTGCTGATAAAAAGCTCCGATACAGGACTTTCATTCACTTTGAAGTTCATCACCGGACTCTGGTCGTGGGCTTGTGTGGTCACGCATTTCTTTTCGCTTTCCCTCTGGAAAACTTTGGTTGATGCAAAGCCATTCTGTTCACCACCTGAAAACGTCCCTGTAGCTCAACAGTATTAGTTGAGTTGGGTAAAAGATTCCCGGAATTCGACAGAGACAGTGATGGTTTGAATGGTGGCTGGAGAAAGGTGGTAAAAGCCACGCTCATAGCCTTTGCTACTGCCTGTCCGAGGTCGCTCGCAGACTCCAAAAAACAATGGATCACACCATGATGAGCACCTCCGAAGGAAGCTGGAAAGGCCATACTGGCAACAAACGACTGATGGCGTGGGCACATCCCTCAAACACCAAATAATGAAGAGCCAAAGGATTGATAGACTGCGCGAGTGGATCACAAAAGCACGATAAGACAAAGCTTTTGTAACAAGAAGCATCCGAACCTTTCCCAGCAACTCCGATCAGCTGGTCAGATGGAAGTGGGTGTTTGTGAAACGATTTACGGGAAAAGGGACGTCAATCCACTCACTGAACCACTCGTCTTGAATGATCGACTGAACGGTTCAGGTGGCCTCCGTTAACTCAACCTCTGAAAGGCCAAATCCACCCGAGTAAGACGTCGATACCAGTCCACCATCGACAACGGATGTATGGCGCGCAATCTCATTGTTTCAGCTCAACAGAACGCCTGGTCCAGATGGTCCGCATCCTTGGCTTTTCAAAGAAGGTGGCGACTCCCTTGTGGCTATTATGACGACTTAATTACGCAGTATCTGGAGTGAAGTATACGGACGGGATGGAGCACTTCGACGGTGGTTCCCATATCAAAAAGGGAGAGAGGGCATCGTGCAAAAAACACCGCCGCATCAATTGACTGACCTTAACTAACCATAACACAGTTCTGTCATTCAATTTATCAGGTACAAACCGTGTGCCATAGGTACGTTGGTCCCACAGTTTCGGTCACCGAAAAACGGGAAAGTGGAAAGTGCAACGAAGCCTTGGAGACGAAGCGTTTTCAGTTTGTCCGGAAATCGGGTAGCTACGCATTGAACGTGATAGCTTTGATACACGAGCACTACTGGCTGCGCGATTAGGTCATTTCCGCCAGTGTCATCAGCCACTGGTGATTTGAGTCCCGGAATCCCCATCCAGGGAGGCGGCAGTTGCCGACCCGACTAAGTTGCCGGGTCGTACACCGTCCACCTTTCGGACGCTTTCACTCATCACAGGGCTGGGAAAAAGAGCTCTATGAGGCAGACGGCCTTCTGGCATGCGGAGTACATGTCCCAACCAGTGCAGCCTATGAAGCGTGAGTAATTCATCTTTTGCGGGAGAGTTCCTTATTCCTAAGACCGTCTGGTGTACCTCAGCATTACTAACCCGATGTTCCCACTAGACCTGACCAATGCTTCGGAGACACCGATGACCAAACACTGACTTCTTCCATATGTCCGCTGCGTGTAAGGGCTACGTCTCTGAACCATAAAGCAGTATGGATCGCATTATCGCAGCGTAAACTCTTCCCTTGACAGACAAGCTCACGTCGCGTCGGCGCCATAGGTGTCGGAGGTTGCTAAAAGCTGTCCTGGCCTTTCCGATTGGAGGAATAATCTCACCTTCAGCCACTCCACCGGAAATTATACAGCTGCCCAGGTAAACAAATTTATCTAACACGTCGACTGGCTTGCCTGCAAGCATGAGGTGTGGGTTCGATCCCACCCAGCCTTTTAGCAGCACTTAAAACTATAGGTGTTAAGCACACGCCAAACCGTGCATCAGAGTTACTCAGGTTATTTAAAATCTTTTGCATTTGGGAAGGATCTGAACGAACATTATCGTCTGCATATTCAATGTCTGTGAGGGAGCGTATTGGGAGCATTTCAACTCCCGAGGTTTTAGAGGCAGGAAGGGAAATTTCAAGCAGCATATCAATAACAAAGAGGATAGCCTTGTCTTACACCAATGAAAGTTGTGAACTCATGCAAGAGCTTCCTGTATACTCATACGCGCCTACAGGAGTTTGCATACAGTGTCCTCATAACGGATGGATATTTGGAAGGGACACCTTTAATCGCCAGGCTGCCAAAGTTGCTGACGACCGACAGAATCAAAAGCAGCTTTCAAATCAAGAAAAACGACCAAAGTGGGACGTCTGAAGGAGTGGCGCTGTTCAAGAATTTTTCTCAAGGTAAAGATATGGTCGATGCATCCTCGACCACGGCGAAATCCAGCTTGGTTCTCGCGAACTTGTCTCTCTCGATAATCCATCAACATGCACAAAATAATGCCATAGAGCACCTTAGACACGACGTATACCAGGGTGATACCACGATGGTTTTCACTTGACGTTCTTGCTCCTTTTTGAATACCCGGATGACGGTCGAGGAGCTCCATTCGACTGGTATTGTGTTTTCTCTCCAAATCTTCTGAAGTTCGGTTGTCAGACTATTCATCAGGACCTCGCCATCTTTGAAGGACGCGGGGTGTAGACCATCCGCATCATGTGCCATGTTGCGCTTCAGGATTGAAGTCATGCGCTTCAGGATTGAAATCTCACACTGAATTTAGGTGGTGGTTGTGGATTGGTGTCAACGTTCCATTCAGACCCGCCTGGTTCTTCTAGCGGTTGTATTGAAGGAGATCAGGTGGACTGTTCTGTGAAGTGCTTAGCCCACCGCTCAAGACGGCGATTGAGGGAGTGAATAGCTGTTCCGTCTTTTTCGTATATTGTCTCACTGACACCTTTCTTCTGACCCGTTGATCGAATCAATTGAGACGGGGTGCGGCTCTTGCCTGCAGCAAAGCCGTCTCCATCCCAGTGGCCTTCAAAATCTACCAGCGTTCTCTTTCATTCTTCAAGCTCCTGATTATCCGGTGTTTGAGGGATATGCATGTGCCATCATGGTCGCTAGCTGCTGGTATAGCCTTTCTGGCGGCAATACGTTCTGCTGGTCTAGGCCTGGGCAACCTCGCAGTTTCCCAGCCCTCGTGCAACCTTCGGGTGGCATGGCAGCTGGGCTCCGAAAGAGTGCTACAGCTGAACGATAGTCTCGAAGGTATCCAGTGTTTATTGAGTCGAATCAGGTGGGCCGGACAAACAGTTCTAAAAGCTGAGAGTATTGAAATCTTCGTCGTTCACATGACTGTCCGTTTCTAGTAGATCAGCTCGATACTCTTCAGCTACTAAAACCTGTCGAAGTTGATGAACGGAGCTGCTCTCTTTCGGCACACGTAATGCTGGCGGAAAGTGAAGTGCTAAGCGGGCCCGCACGATAGCATGATCAGAGTCAAGTTGCGCACCCCAGAAGGAACGACAATACTTAACTGAGACTTTCCATCGGTAACTGATAGCCATATGGTCCAATTGAGTCCATGACTGTCTTGTGGTAGGTGGCCTCCAACTAACTCGATGTGAGCGTTTGTGTTGGAAGTTCGCACTGGCCAGGAGCACAAAACCGAAGAAGCCGCCCTCCATCATCCGTACGTTCAGTATCGACTCCAAATTGACCACCTAAATGTGCTTCTCACAGACTTAGTCGTTTAATTCAGGCATTCATATCACCAGTCAGGACTACTATATTTGTCCGTCTTGCTGACCAAAACAGTCGTGATAGATCTTGATAAAACGTGTCCTTCTCAGTCTGAGAACTGCTATCCGTTGGGGCGTATGCTGATACGACAAACAAACACCATTTACCACATCGACCTGCGTTAATTTTAATTGAGCCGGACAACCTCACAGCGCAAAGACGACTGTTTTCTGGGATCCAGTCTACTGTGACACTTGGGTGCAGTTCCTGAGTACAATTCCCACACCGTATATACCGCGAGCCGTCGCATCAGGATCACTGGATGCCCGAAGAGTGAAATGTGGAACGTCTGTCTCGCTCTAAGAGGCCTGAGGAGCACGACCGAAGTGGGGTCCTGCAAGCGTGTTTCGGAAACACATCGATTGAGAGGGAAAGTAAGGTTTCAGCAAGGAAGGCCCATTGCCTAATTTGACATAGAGTAAAGGCTGCAACGTGGATCAGATATTTTGAGGTTAGTAGGTGACTATTTCGGTTTGTGTTTTTGGGCGATGGTTGAGACACGGAACAGTGGCTTGGGGGTTAGCAGATGGGTTGGTTTAACTGCATCGTGCGATTGGTTGAGATGGAGTGAGGAAGAAGGCCGGTGAGAGAAGAGCTGCAAGGGAAAATGATACTTCCCGGGTACCCAGGCCGAAGACGAGCTTTGAGTTGGGGTACCCCACCTTGAGCCTTTTACTCACAAGTCTGATCCACAAGGCAGTCAGAGAATGTAGGGTTTTGTTCGGGGACCCTGCCCCTAGCCTCTCACTCAAGAGTCTTGACCGAGAGACCGGTTGTTAGGGTTTTCTTGGGGAACCCTTCCCGGAGTCAACTCAATAGTCTGACTTACTTGGCTGTAGGGGGCCGGCCTGGCTCGAGGGCTCAGGTAGTAGAGCATTACTGTCTCACTCCTGATGCGACTGCGCACAGCAGGTGCCTTTTGACTAGAACCGGGCTCTTTGATTTAAAAAGTATTTCGACCGTACTGTTGACCCACATAGGGGAAGTCTGATTTACAAGACTCAAGCTGGGTTTCACCGTGACCGGTGTTGCATCAATCATATCTTGACTTTGCTACAGGTACTGGAAATGCTCCGCTCATTTCGATGACCATTAGGACGTCTTTCTCGATCTCAGATATTTTTTGACTTCGTTGATCGTCAGAAAATTTAGCAGCACCTGGCGATGGAGGATTTCCCCTTCTAAAATCTTCTTTTATGAAGGCTGTCTATGCCCCACCCCTAGTCATGGACGCGTCTATGACAGATCTAATGCTGATTTCACCACATCTAGTGGTATCTGACAGGGTTGTAATTGGTCGCTATTCCTCTTCAACAGGTCTATTGTTGTAAGGTTGCGAGGCATGGCCTCTGCGGGCAGATGATGTGAGTCGTCTCCGACTTTTTGGCGATGGATGGCCCAGAAGCTTTGCTAGTGTCAGATGACGTCAGTGCATTCGTAACAAGGTAATTTAAGAACGAATATTTGCTTGTGCATCAGGTAATTCAGTCACGGAAGACATCAAACACAATCAACCTCTGTGTGCATGTTAAGATATCGTTTACTGAGACGCGTTCTGTTCTGCCTTCTTCGGAATGGCGCAAACTGCGAGCTGGGCGGATGGGTATGAATGAGACTACGTGGGGTTTGGGTGCTGTTAATCTGCCAGGATGGAATCCACGTTACCCGCGTACGTTGGTAAGAAGGATTACAAGAAACGACAGTAGGTCCATCTCAGTGATGTCCATGCTGTCGGTTTCTTTCCAGATTCTCTGAGCGCCTGCAGGTGTAGGTACTACAGAGTTGCAATGGGCCAGCACCAGGTGCTTCCACTTCATTATAAGGCTTTGCGGTTGTACAGCGGCAAAGCATTGGCGTCAGCAGTAATGGTGCCGTCTCTGATGACGGTGGTGAGGTAGACTGTACAATGCTGCGGTCCGTTCTGTCTCAGGTTCTGGGTCAGAGACGTGGGAGATATCCGGCGACCCTTTGTGTTTGACGATCGGTGCCTCCGAAACACTGCGCGGGTCTGGTGGAAACATCAGATCAGTGATGCTGAAGTATACTGGTCAGTTCTTGGAAAATTCCACTGTCCGTCCCAGGCTTATTTCGGATGTAAACGTCCCAGGGAGGCTAGTCCATGACTTGCAAACGAAGCGTGAAAGCCCATAGAGTTAACTATGTCGTGTTGTTGACTGCTACCTCAGATAGGGCCCCCGGGACAATTTATCGTGAGGGCGTAGATTGGGCCATCACTCTCCTTCCCTTGTCTTCCTTATCCTCGAGGAACGAGGTTGCAGCAACTGGAACTACTCCTTTTCGTTGCTCTTTTTGTGAGCCAAAGGACTGAACTGGTGGTGAAAATCCTGAAGACACCTCAGATATCTTTTCAGTCAGTGTCTCGCAGACATGCAGTAACGCAGCCCTCAGTGTGGCCCTATAAGTGAAACGACTTGACATACGTGATTCGGGCGACATCATCTAACATACTGCCGTAATAGCTGATACAAGTACCTGGGTACAGAAAGTTTTCCGCAACCATCACCACCTCCTTGAATTGCAGAAACAAGTTCACACTGAATATTCTGATTGCAGACGTCACACTTTGCAGATACAAAGCACATTGCTGAAGATTCAACAGAGTTTGTGCCCCTTCTTCGTCTTCGAAGTTGAAGACGATGAGGTCCACGTTCTCCACAAGGTCCTCATCAGGAACGATTTGAACATCTGGGTTTTGAGGACCTAGCGTTGAGATCATTATTTCATCGATGACCTTGTTGGCACAGAACAACAGTACGGTTCTTCAGTAAGCTCCTTAAGTGATTTTCCGCATTGAAAATGTTCCGGTACGACATGTATCGTGACGAGAATCTCCACACGGTCTCATTGGTTATTTTTATCAGGTCTCCTGGTTGTTTCTTTTGGTGGAAAGTTCAATGTAAATTTTCGTTCGAACGGCGTTCCATTAAAGTCTGTTTATCTCTGGTTGCAGTAGACTGATAGCCATATGCTGCTTCCCCTTTTACACGGTGTCCTGATGGCCTACTTCACGGTGTTGTGGGCCTTATTTGCGGCAGTCTGCTGCCTTATCTTCCGACCCCCGGCAAAAACCCACAGGTCTAACTAAATATCATTTTCGAGGTCACTGAGGTGCAGATTGAAGAGGAAAAGACGTCAACCCTGGCGGTATCATAATTATGATGGGCGGATGGAGTTCTATTGAGCCGTTTACTGTCAGCCACTTAGTGTATTTAGCATCGTCTACCTGCTGCTGAGCAACTTTGTCATAGTACAGTGAATTTTTGAAGTACAAAACGACATCCCTTTGATTGCAGCTTTCTCGTACGAATGCTCAAGCCGTTCATAAAAGTACCCAGTTGGCAAGACGAACAGAAGTGTGCATATGGCTTGGTGGGTTTGATGGGCAGTTGCGGTGTTAGAGGACGGTGGCGAAAGTCATGACATTTCCGGGTGCACTCCGTTTATAACAACCAACTATGCTATTATCAGGCCTTTGGCTGGCCGATATCTTGACCTCCTTACGGCAAGAAGGAACACGGAAAAAGATAGGATGCTCAGAGCAGATCACCTGACCAATGTAGTCGCTGCTTTCGCGTTTTGAAGTTTGAGCCGAAACATTCACGTGAGCCTTCATGAACGCATCAATCTAAATTAGCCCAGTATCAAAATGAAACACCACGGTTAGATGCACGCGCTGTACGAACTACTCACTGATTTCTCAACAGTCCAATAATGAAGAGGTCGTAGGTCAGCTTCATACTGCAGCAGTAGCCAGTCCTTATTACTGCTCTGAGCGAAATTCCCGGCATACTAAACGACTGTTTCGTCATTGAAAGAGTAGTTGAAAGGAAACTACTTTATGATTCTTGCAGAGGGTGATGAGGGTTTGGTTATAGATGGGCATTCTAAACAGCCAGTGCAAACAAGTGGTGAATTTTTCGCTTCGTCTCGTCATCCCTGGAGCATGTTCTGATGTAATGATAAGAACAACTCAGTTAGAAGTAAAAAATGTTTCAGCTGTAGACCGTATACTGAAGTACAGTGGTTCCGGCTAGCACACATTCATTCGAGATTAAGGGAGTCAGAAACATGTTGCAAACGATGGCTCAATCACTTCAGTGATGTCAAGTGCTTCTGTTTGTCTGTTATGGCATGGAATGAAGGGCTTAAGCTGTCAGGATGATAGCATTGATGAGGTTTATCTGTCACGGTCACCAAACATTGGTTTCTCATGTCCCAGATCCCCATCCGTGTGGACAGCAGTTACCAAGGAGTTGACTGGTAAAAGCTAACATGTTTTGTCAAGTCATCGACTGATCGTTACTCGGCTGGTCTACACCCGGTACATGACTCAGCGAAAAGGGTGCTACTAGGCAAACGGTATCCTGGCGTACGTACTACATGGCATGAACATTGTAACTTGTGGAGTGTGATAAATCGAGGGAGGGTGTACTATTCCAAGAACCATCTGGTATACTTCATTACTGATCTGTTGCTTTCAACAGACTCGCGCAATGATTCGGATGCGCTAACGGTCAAACACAGTCTTCGCATCGGCCACATGTCTGTGGGGTAAATCAAACCGCAGCATTTTACAGTATACCTTCAGAAGTCAAACTACTGTCGGCGACAGAAGTATCGGAGCTTGGCAATAGCCGTCCGGACCCGAATTCGGGAAGCGATTTTGTCTTTCTCCAGTAAGCCGGGACTTAGCTAAATTAATCTAACGGTTCGGCTGTAACACACTTCCGGCGCCTACTTGCCATGCCACCCGGAGGAAGCACGAGGGCTGGGATACTGCCAGGTTGTCCAAGCCTAGACAGGGGAAATCGAGAGGCAGAGATAGGGTTCGAAACACGGACCTTCCGGTCAGTAAATTCGCGCTGCAGAGTAGCTAAGTTTTAGCGTAATCGATTTTCTACATTTTTTAGAAGAATTACATGAATCCGACGATATGGATGGGCTTTCGTTCAACTACCGCTGAGTATACGTTAATGGGATTTTAGTGAACATGTAGCTACTCCATCCATAAACCTCAAACGTAGCGCACATGAAAAAAACTGGCCAGTATTCTCCTAAAGCAATTGTTCTTTCTGATCAGAGGAACGTCTATGGAAGTCACATTTGGTGCCCCTAGGGGAAACAGGGGCGCCTGGTTGTATGCCGAATAAATATTTCGATAATGAAGGACATTTCACAAAACAATACTTAAAACGCTATCCGCGACCCGAGACGGGTAGTGGCTTCCTCGGGATCCTGAAGTTCGGTAAAGGATCAACCAGAGGTGGCCGCTCCAGAGAACAGTTGAGTCTGTGTGGTGTTCTACGATGCACTGAATGCGAGAACTGGATATTCGGGAAATTACTACTGCACATCATTCCTATTTACTTAAACGATTTTTTTGAAGAATTGATAGTTTCTGAATTTGCGGTCAAATTTCCAGGTGAGTTTGATTCACCTATATTGTATACTACTCATCAGTGAGGCCAGTAGTGAGAGTTGTATCCTTCTCCATCGATAACCAAAGTTTTCGTTCTGAGCAACCCCTAATCAAGGTTAAAAGGGTCAAGCCTATTCCTGTGGACGGGGCTGGTGATGTATACGGGACAAACGGAAATGCAACACGTTACTGGAGGCCGAGCAAGTGAAAACCAGCCTATGATGGAGTCTCATGTCAGAGATCCGATGGGATAGTCACTGCGAATACATTTGCCCCTAGTTTTATAACTATCCTGTAACAGTCCCCAGTAATACGATCGTGCACTATGTTCGATACTTGTGAGAGACAAGCTATGGTACGGTTGTTTCGAAAGATAGCTCTCTCCTGATCACCAGCACTACTATCCGCGTTTTTTGAGATCATATCGGGCGCACAATGAGCTGTCCTCTCTGCAGGAACAAAAATCTATGAAAAAGCGAAAAAGTTGCTAGTGGTACAATAATATTACTGACTTTTAAACCTTCCGAATAGGTTGTTTGTGTTTCACTTCTAATTAATGGCACTGCCTGTTCGTTGAGTTCATAAAATGCAGGTGTGCATGACATGGCTTCGCGTTTGGCAAGCATTACGTCGTGATAAATGTTCACTGGGTCACGTGCCGCCACATGGACTTGAGGGGATCATAGTCCGTCGTTGTGTTTTCTGATTGTTTGTAGGCACTACTGTTTTTCAACGCACTACTCAGGTTAAATTGTGAACGTGAGCAATTAACAAGACGATCGACTGCCCCCCCCTGTTTCATTAAAAGAACATACGATAGACCAAAAGGACGACGGATCAGATAGTTTTGGCTAGGGTCGAGAAGGTTGTTATGTTCAGGGTTGAAGCGATACACCTGCATAACAGCCCTACGGTTTAACCGTATCTTGCAGGAAAATGGTTAGCTGTGATAGACTTGGATACCGAGCGTAACTGACAGCGTTAGGCAGATCGGCCGACAGTGGAAGGGTTGGGGAACAGGGCTAGAATTCCAAAGTTGTCAGGCGTTGAGTCCGAATCACGAAGGAAAGTTGCCACTAGGCTCAATAGGTAAGCAGTGTATCCGTAAAAATAAAAAAAATAAATCGTTCAGCTGTAACACCCTTTCGTTACCTAGCTGTCATGCCAACCTTAGGAACAACGAGGGCTGGGATGCTACCAGGTTGTCCAATCGTAGACAGGGGCAGTCGAAAGGCAGAGATTGGGCTCGAACCACGGATCCTCCGGTCAGTAAATTTGCGCTCTAACCACTGAACCATCTCGATCCACGTGCATTGTATCTGCCTACCTCAGCTGGTCACCATTCGCAAACACTCGCTTCAAACCCATCTCCACTGATGAAGGTACACCGTACGCAGAATCTAAATGAAATTTCCCGCCGTAATATTTTGACGAACCAACGGCATTCATCAACTTTCTATTTCCATTTTATTTACTGTATATAACTTGCCGGTCTAAGCCGGGAATGTACTAAAACAGTCTGTTCACTAGCCCGTCATCTACAGAGTTCAAATGTTTTGAATATGGATTAGCGACTTGGTTTTCCGGTCTTCATCCAGGCCATGATCCGTAGTGTTGTTGGCAATACGCCAGTTGCCTTTGTACCGACCACGGCTTTTAAGCTGCATTGAGGCATGAAAACAAGTTGCATTCCATATAACTTAGCCAAACACAATCACATTCAAACGCGCTTTTGTATGACCCCTATGTTTGACTGTTTTCCTCCGCAAAATCTATTCAGTCACCAGCGCGAGGTTCAGCGTTGAGGATCCTATGAGACTGCAATGAGAAAAGCTGTTTAGGAGATCGCTCTTGGGTGGGGTGATGACCACACAATATCCCACAATGATGTGACTGCTGCATGTTGGTTTGTTGCTGCGTTCGTACATCCAGAATTGGTTTTTATGGTGTCACATTTAGAGGGATGCCTATTGGCCTTTGTTATGCGACCACATGTCTCATCAAACAGTCGGAAGCCGGATTAGGGGGGAACAGTCCTGGTGTTAAGAGACAGGAGGATGTGGAGTTAGGATATCCCGATCGGCTTTCAACCTGTAGCATGAAACCGGAAGGTTGCAAGGCTCCTGAGATCTCTTTATTTGACAGCAATTCACCTTTTAAACTCTCAACATTACCACCGAGGCCCAAGACCGGGAATGCAACATGGAGAACTGTCGTTCGGTGCTGAAGCAATTCGTGGACCGAATATAGACAGAGATATCGCGAACAAAACGAATAAGCTAGTTGAAGAAATGCGTGGAAGAAATTTCTGACAAATTCAGAAATGAGTCGCAGGTTTTCTGAATGGACTACTAACAAAGAAAATTGTGGTACGTGAAGTTGGTCAAAATGTTCTTCGAAGGGCAAAAGTTAGGTCGTACTCTTGGGGGAGTGGGAATTCTGCACCGGATTTTTCCACTATAAATGGAAACAGTCTCCGTCTAACGGAAAATCCAAGTAATGGCGAATCTTGGGAACGCGATTTCTGCGCGGAGACATATGATAGAGGGACACGAAATCTGACTCCCTCACGGCGAAGACCAAAAGCCCCGTAGGTGTGTATTTCTACCGCTTCGGCTCTTTGGAATTTGGAAGTTCCGGAACCAGTACCGAGCAGAGTGATACGACGAACAATACGCCGAGGCAACAGAAGTCCTAGTCCAAAACTCATGCCAGCTGAAAAGAATGAAAAGATGACTGATGCTTACCGACAGAAATGAAAAGTATTAATGGACAAATATGATCTATGATGCCCGCAAGCAAACTCGTGGGTTAGCGGGCTTATCAGATCATGAAGTTCAGCATCCCACTGAAGTATCGGTAACCGTAACTCCACCACTGATATAGTCCACAACTGATATCCATCACGGCCTCGTAAAGGAGTAAACTAATTCGATGGTATTGTCGAGGATCACCATGTGAATTTAAACGACCGTGTAGACTAGGATTTCACTTGTTGAGAGAAGTATCCTATCCAGCAATCACAGCAATGTTTCTAAATTTTTGGCTTTCTCGAGATCTGTATGTGTAAACCACTGGTTAAAGCAGATCAAATACAATGTAGTTATGTGCCAACATGTAAACTCGCCCATGAGTAAACCTGATTTTTCTTAACCAAGGAACCAATCAACAGCAGGTCATGTAACAGCAACTGTATAGTTGCATCCCGTCCAGCTACAGCCTGATCATAATGCACACAGTATTGAAAGAGTCCCTTCAGGGGTACAGTTTGTGAGGGTAGTTGTGTATTATGACTTAGAATATAGTCGCATAAGTGTTAGTTTTTAATAGCAGGACACTTGTGAATAAAGACGAAACACCCAAAGGGTAAAAATGCTGCAATTTGAAAGGTATCCCTGGGACCACAGTGGCGTGATTGGCGATGCATCATCAGCTAGGAATTAAGCGTATGGGTAGCTACACTTGTCAACTGCAGTTGTATCTCACCTGGCCACGTCTAGACAACATGTAGATGTGAATTCCGATTGTAGAATCATTACACTCAGAAAAGACAGTAAAACAGTACGCCTTGGACGCAGATGAGACGATCATTAAGCTAGGAAAGAGAAGTACATACGTTACACTTGATACGGCCTCGGATGAACAGACACACTGACAACCCAACAGTCAACCCGTAGACTAAACCTAACATAGTTGTTAATTTTTAGCCAGGTATTTGAGTCAGAACAGACTATCGAATACCAAGTGAGCCTATTGACCAGAAGAATTTTGCAAAGCTCTCTTTCCCCAAAACCCATTCGCTGCGCAGGCCGTCGCCGCTTCCATCTAAAACTTGGAGTGCGCTACCGTCACAAAGAGACTGAACCTTACCGTGGTGTGACGGTTTGCTCACCTCAGCGATCCATTAAGCTATAGTGGGGAGTGCCCCCACGACACACTCTCATACCGAGTTGGTCAATGGTTAGAGGTCTGACACGGCCCTCCAGGTTGGGGGTTGGAACATGTGGCGACTTGTTCAGTAGAAATGGTAATGCACTTGCATTTCCCGCCAATCACCGCTGCCCTGCGGTTAGGCTTTTGAGCCAAAGGCTTTGGTTGAGGACCCCAATTGTCCTCCCTTCAAGGTGTGGATGCCCCTGCAGTATCATAACCCTCGTAGAACCACGACACTTAATGCGGCAATGAAACATCGGTGTTGAACACTGATATCATGCTGTCGATGATGATGGACTGTGCTAACTCTTAAAGGAAAAGAAGCACAACTGAGCTCCTTGTAAGGTTCTTCTGTTCTATCTAAGGCAAATTGAATTATGAAGTCTACTATTTGTGCAACAAATATGCACACAATACACACAAATCATACAACAAAGGTTGAAACATGCGGATACAGGACCCAATGGAGAAAAAAGGTGTTTTGTATCTCCGGCTGAATTTCACTCTAGACTCTCTAAAGGAGTGTATATGAACAAGGCAGGATGTGGCACTCTTCTCCCGGAGAATTTCCTGGGGGTTACTTTAGCCTTCCGAATGGTGAGACGACTCGACAAACCCGAGTAAGGTACAGGGTATTCATGGTGTTCATGTGAAGAGCCAATCGTGGCCAAAAAAAACTCAGCTCTTAAGGAGTTGTGGGTGATTGGTGAAAAAGATTTCCAGACTGGTCACTGGCACGACCAAGAAACTTAGTTTATCTACACAGTGGATCAGATAGACCTAAAAGTATCTGCCACTGATGGAGAAACTCGAAACAAACCGCTTAAGAAGCCTAGAAGATGTGTTTTGAACTTCGCTTCGTTAAGAAAATATGGATAATACTTGCGCCTCTGTGTGGAAAGGGATAGGGGGTGAGTAAACGCTCATTACATAAGCTGTTACCGAAATCAGTTAACTGACCTACGTAACGAATGTTCGTCCCGGTCTAGAGTACAGGTAGGCTGCTGTACCAAAGGCGAACTGAGATAAGTATGAAGAGTTAGAAGAGTATCTAAGAGATCAGTAAGTGGTCTGAAGAACGCAACTAGTCAGACAAGTTATACATACACGTCAAATCTGACCTAATCCCCAGAGGAGACGACGTTTGCATTGCGTAAGTAGAATGAACAAAATATCCTTAGTGTACAATCTGTCGTGAATGGCTACCAACAGTTAATAATCCTTTCCCAAAGGTGTGGTGGCACTACATGCGGGTATGTGGTGAAGGGGCTCAAATGGGGGTCCTCTGCCAGCGGAAATCTCAGTGCATTCAGGTGGTCACTGTTCAACAGGTACTCGCCGTTTTTCTCCAGAGTGCTCGTTCGCGTATGGTTTACACGGTTGTGTTTTCCGGCTGGTGGAGTATTTTTATCAGACCTTAGCTTTCTCAGTTAAGGTACGCACTTACCGCGTGGACAAACATCCGACAAGGCCAGAAGTGACCTTGTGTTCGAGAATGCTCAATCACTGGAGTGCAAACTTTCTGATCGGAAGGTCGACCCAAACGCGGACACCTCAGGTGCTCTTGACTAGGCTTAAGCAACCTGGCAATATCTCAGCCCTAGTGCTTCCATCGAGTAGCATGGCTACTAGGCATCAGAAGGGTGTTGCTGCCGAATGATATGATTTTTTTGTTTGAGGCCATCGAATCATAATCGGCCATAGTGCAGTATGCTGCTGCGGTCTCGCTGGAGTTTCCAGTGGTCCAGCTAAACCACCTCATCAAAGCACTACATGGAGTTCAACCTTCTAGACGCGTTAACAAGTGACTGTGAAGAAAATGCCCTGAGAAACTAGACAAGCTGGGAACCACGCGTGCGCAAACATTGCCAGGCCGGATTCGGGTGTCTATGGAGATGCTGTAAACATAAGTAAACCGAACGCAAGAGGGATGAGACTGCTTCAGCTTCAATCAGATGAGAAACAGGGTGAGAAACTGGATTTGACTACCAACCACACCCCCAGCAATATCCACACACAGCCTGAAAAATTGAGACACGTCATGACCGGGTGTGCGTAAATCTCAAGAAGGATCGGCTACCGTTAGCAATTGACACTCATTTCCATACTGATAATCTCTCAGAGACCAGCCGTCCTATAGTCACAGATGCTGGGAAGCCGAATTATTCTGATCTTCGCACTAAGCTTTAGTTGGCTACGACGGTTACGATTTAGAGGAAAAACAAAAAATCTCACCAATCCGATGTCATATCTATGTAAGACCTATTCGCCAATGCTTAAGCACATTAGCACTTCGCAGTGTGATACGCAGTGTTTACAATTGAGGGCATCGGTTATTCGATGCATCGTAATCACAGGAAAGCATTACGAATCTCACTGAGATGGACTTAGGGGACTCATCAATTAGGACACCAGTTTGGTCCGAAATAGATAGTCCGAGATAGATAGTCTTAAGCACTAGCAGATTGGAAGACCTCATCAGAACCTAAAGGAACAATGCTTCTAGTAAGATGACAGCTATGCATTCCATTCCGTTGGTGAGGCAGACAGCTGGTTCTTCGCACTTACCCGGCACAGCCCTCATGGTCCAATTTGCATCGATTAAAGACACGTGGGTTTAAGATATTTTCGCTGGTGAACGTACCGTTGGAGGAAGTTTTTTGACACACCAAGCAACGTATCCTTATGAATGGGCTAAATCCACTAGTAAGTCCGCTGTAAGGGACCGCTATAATTACGTAACCAGTGCGTACAAAAGAAAACCCACTTATTTAACTGTTGCACAGCAAGTTACTGAAATATCACAGGCATAACGAAGCAATGCAAATGTACGATTCGCAAGGAAAGCTGTTCTCCAACCTGACATAAAGACCAGACAAAAAAACAACGTTCCGCGTTTCACAAAGGTGACTTTGATGAGCTAACTGTATAGGTTCTACAATAGTTAGTTGACTGGTAGAATCTAAGATTAGCGATCCGGAGTGCCTATGTGAAAAACTAGATTCATTCGGAGAAGTCACAAGCAGGGCTGTGATGGAGGTGGAAGGAAAAGTGAGTCATTGCTGTGAAAACATGCATGGGAGGAAATACGCGAGAAATATCATCATCATCACTGTCAGCTGTAATAAGTGCGTACACGTCGTACAGTGGTTATAGGTTATAGTAGTTACAGTTGATGTAGGGCATGGCTGATTCCCGTAGCAAAAGCCTTAGCCATCTCCCAAGCTTTCGATGTTCACTAGGGTGCTCGATCTTTCTTTAGGCTCTTCACTATTTGGCGTTTGAGGGATTTGGTGCGCCGTCAGCCTTAACCATCTCCCAAGCTTTCGATGTTCACTAGGGTGCTCGATCTTTCTTTAGGCTCTTCACTATTTGGCGTTTGAGGGATTTGCGTGCGCCGTCGTACTCGTTGCCTGCTGGTATGGCTTTCCTGGCGTCAATCACGGATAACGACCTTGACGACATCCAGTGGTCTTACACGAGAAATATGGGACAAGGGAACAGATATGAAGCAGCCAGGGTGGAGTTCACAGGCTCGAACCTCAGCCTTAGGAAGATCTAAACAGGAAGTACATCTGACCGGAAGAATTTTATCCTTTTCAGGTTTGATGAAATGAACGTCAGACTCAAATTCAATGAGCCAGAATACCAGTCACAAATTTGTTGGTTGATTTTCGTTTGATTTATTGAAAATTCCATGAAAGGTTCTTACGTTACGGGGTTTTTTAAAACTCCTCTAATCACACTATAAAATGTTCAGATGTGTACATTTGTCTGACCTACTCAAAATCAGGACTATAAAACAGAAAACAGGCTCAAAAACTGCTTGACTATAAACTATACTCATCCATATGGACAGATACAATAAATCTTTTCGAATCACAGTTGTTAAGGGAAATCGCCCCTCAACGGAAAACAAAAGGTGGACGAGGGAAATACTTGCTATCAAGTGAGGGTTGACAACCGATTTCGATTACTCACCAATAACAACTGTCAAAATTGGAACCACCGCCGCGTCGAACTTTTTTGTTTTTGATGAAAACTCGGCAAGTTTCGGCGCAAATGATGCCAGCCACTGTGCAGTCTTGCTTGAAGGCTCGTGCCCTCCATCCGACGTTGTTTCCGGGGCAGGTGTCAGTTCCACAGAGTCCAACGGCCTATCATCCTCAGGTTGCTGGGACAAAGTACCTTTAGCAGTGATGACCAGATCGGCTAGTTGCCTTTTCATAGTCGCATGTTTGGCCTTATCATACCACTCTCGATAATAGGTAAGGCCCGACCAAACAGTGGCCTGCCCCAAGCAGAATATACCAAAACTTCGAAGCCACCAAACACGATCCGGTCCACGATAAATCTCAACTGCGAATTTGGAGGGGGTGGACATCTAAAAAACAAAGCAGGCACAGTGAACACAACCATTATATTACTGTCATGTACATTATAGGATTTCTCTATCCAGAATATAACTGGTAATATCTACAAGCATACAGAACCAACACAACGGGAAATCCCATATACAGGTTTGAGCAACCTAGCAGTATTTCAGTCTCCTTGTGCCTCCGGGTTATTTGGTGCCTATGCAACGTAAAGTGAACCAGGTATACTTCCAGCTCACTAGCAACACCTTTTTTTGTAAATTTCAAAGTCACCGCTCGAACGGAAGTCCCCTGGGAAATGAGAAGACATAAGTGTAAAATTCGGGTGATTTGATTTATGAAATGGACAAACTGGTTCCTTCCAGCATATGTTGTGTCTCAGGTTGAGGTCGTTTTTTTTTTCAGCCAAACTCGACCGACCAGTTTATTCGACGAAGAAAACCAAAAAAGTCCAACATATGGGCCGATTTATCGAAGTCGGACGAATGGAATGACCTGTGCAACCTACTGCAGCGCATACCCATTCTGTGTAAGCTGGAATTCAGAGACCGGTCGCGTTTTTTAAAACAATCATTCAGTTGCGTTTACGCCCTGCAAGCTATACTACTAAAACGCGCAGAACAAGGTGTTGCGAAGCCACGGTAGTGGTGAACAGTAGTACAGTTACGCAGCCCACAAGATCCACAAGGGCCCGTCCCTGTGTTTTATTATTCTATAGAATAATGTCAATAAAAAGAGATGGGAAATTTCTTAAAAAATGAACTCTGAGAGACGTTGGGTATGGAGTGCACGTCAAAGCTCTGATAACTGCTGAGTTGTTCGAAACCCAATCAGACACACATTGTTACTTCTTGGCAATAGGTCGGCTTACTCTCGCATTAGAATACCATGAAATTGAACATCCTCTTTTCCAGTGTTGCTTTTCATTGTGAGCACCACCCATTACAATTAGTTCGCCTCTCGACAGGGGTGAGTGAGAAACCACAGACAGTTTGCGCGGTACCGAATTAGATGGTACGCACAGGCCCAAGGGAAAAATCGGTGGACGAACGTGCAGAGTCCCGTCGCAATCCATCAGCCGCGCGTTCAGCTGTAGCACCCTTCCGATGCCTAGCTGTCATGCCACCCGAAGGAAGCACGAGGGCTGGGATACTGTCAGGTTGCCCACGCATAGACAGGGGACGTCGAGAGGCACAGGTCGGATTCGAACCACGGACCTTCCGGTCAGTAAATCCGCGCTCTAACCACTTGGGCCATCTCGTCCAAACTATCAACCGACCTAACGATGACACATAACAGCGCATACCGGCGTCAGTTACCTGTTTATGTCAGCTCCTTTAGGTTTTAGTGTAATACCGCACGTCAGAATGGAACCACGCAATTGATGTCATCATTACGATGACAGAATCGGGTATGAAGCGACTGGAAATTGGGACAAGTCTATCCGGGTTCCAGCAGATTACGTTTATCATCATCATCATCGTCGGCTGTAAGAACCACGTACTCGTCGTACAGTGGTTGTAACTGCCGCAGTTTCGTTCACTGATGATTTGGGGGGGGGGGGGGAGGTGACTGCGCATTGCAGGTGGGAGCTGATAAATTGGTGCATAAATACAGCACTGTCAGTGGGCTGTCAAGT